TTTATTATTATTATTATAAAAACACTCACATCAACTCACTCAAACCCTGGGTGCATGTTGCAGCTGCAATATTCATGTTGAAGTCGGAAACTCTTCTGGTTTCTTTGAGACAACGAGCAAGATGAGGAGGAAATCTCAATTGTTTATTATTTTTCATTCTCATCAATAGCTATTTGAAAATGAAACAAATTTATCAGTAGTTTCATTTTTGTCAATGATAGAATTTTCAAATATTTCAGGATCGGCTGTCTTAGGACTAAATTGTAACAGTTTCAAGGATCCAAACGCTGAGTTCAGAAACATAGGAAGACAATTATTCGACGAATTCACTTTGATGGATACAATCAAAATTTTTCTCACGATTTCTTTTCCAAAACTATGTGAAAAGATTGGAGTGTCAAATATTCAACCTGAGGTTTCGGAATTCTTTTGCAGAACTGTTAAGGATCTTGTAAAATATAGAGAAGATAATAATTTGATAAGAAGTGATTTTCTACAAATGTTGATTGACATGAAGAACTCAACGAATCAACTGACAATGGATGAGATTATAGGACAGGTACCTATTTGAGTTTCTTCTTCAGTAGTGTTTCAGTAGTCGTGAAACTAACCTTACTTATAGGTTTTTATATTTTTCTCTGCTGGATTCGAAACGTCCTCTACAACTGCTACGCTGACTCTCTTCGAATTATCCCAAAAACCTGAAATACAAAACAAACTGAGGAGTGAAATAGAAGAGTGTATGGAGAAAAATGATAATCGAATCACATATGACGCACTCATGGGAATGCCATACATGAATGCGGTCGTTGAAGGTGAGTATGAGATGAAACCGAAGTCAATATTCAATATTTATTCATAGGTCACCATTTTCACAGTTTACAATGTGAGGATGGATGCACCTAAGTAACTAAAGTACTTGTGTTGCGCTTTCCATCTACCACACAGGGTATTCAATTATATGTCATTATCTTATGTATATATCTATATACATACATTTCGAATAATTAATTTACAAAATTGATGAATATTGGGAATGATGAAGAGCTAGCTTAACAACGTTTATATTTAGCCGAGTACATCGAGAAGTTCGGTATTGAACATAATGAATGTTTTGATTGATTCTTTGAATGAATTGAGATTGGAATTGTTTCTCATAATTGGAAGAAGATTGAATAATTTTGAACCATGATAGAAAATATATATCTGTGTGTCACTTTTATTAGGAGCTGGTATGTTCATGGATGAACTAGTAACGAGTCTTGTTTGTTTTTCTTTGTTTGTTGATTGAAGTTCAAATTTATTTGTATACATCCAAGTTAAACATTGGATATAGAGTTCTCACGTTTTCAGTAATTGCGTTTCTTCATACAGAAATTCAGTAGAGTACAGTTCAGGTTTTTTGAATAATATTTTCAAGATTGTATTTTGTGATATTTGAAATATATTGAGGGATTTGTTAAAAGTACCACCCCAGGCAATATAATATCTTATTACAGATTCTGCTAGAGACTGGTATATGGTGATTAAATTTTTGTACTCCAGAATATTTCTCAATTCAAAGAATTTTTTAGTCAAAAGGGTGAGATGTTTTATAACATACATAGTTTATGTGGTCATCCCATCTCATATGCCGATCCACAATAACTCCAGATACTTAACATATACTAACTATAACAGCACAATTGCAGTTTGTTGTATTAGTACAGTCTCTGTCATGTGTATGGATTATGTTATTTCCAGGTAGAATTATTATTATTATATACCGAAAAAGTGCGTATCAGAAATACTTCAAGGATTCAAAAAACGCAGGCACAAGTGTATTATATCTGAGGAGGACTACTTTGAAAGGGACAGAATAGAAATTGTAGACCTGATGAATATTTTTCGAAGAAAATGAAAATTTAACTCATTTTTTGAAAATTCTTCAAACATCCAGACGACTCATTACCTAGCAATATAGGGGTCGATAATCAATTCCCAGTATTTTATTGCCCTCTTATTATTCACCATCTGACATACTGAATCTTTCCTTTTTTCGTTTTCTAAACTTTTGTCGTCATCTACCAGTCTCAACTTCAAGCATTCCGTTCTCCATTACATGTTACACAGGATTTCTCTGGTACATGAAATCGAATATGTAAAACATGTTCTTTATAACGACGTATTATAGTGCGCCTAGTTTGACCAACATATTTTTTCGCAATCCTCACTGCTCATTTCGTAAATCGCAGGCTTATCCTTCGCCGTCGTCTTGTGTTTCTGGTTACTCAGCACTCGTTGAAGTGAACATTTTTAAAAGCTTTCATTTAACTCGACTAGTATGTATATTAACAAATCTTGCAAGTTTAATTTGACCCACTTCCCGGTATCCGATTGACCTTAAATTATGTATGCTGGTCCAGAACCGATGACAATGCATGTTAATCGTAAACGTGACCTGATGTTGCTGCCAGGATCGGCTCCGTACGAGAGATTTCCTCAGAGGTGAATAGCAGGCACACGAAATTTTGTATACAAATTCGTTTATGATAGGCAGTTGGTAGGCCCACCATGAAATAGATGCCACATACAGGGTTGGTTTCAATAAACAAAATATACGATCAATACGAAAGTCTATCTATAAAACCGAGAGTCTTTTGTTGCGATGCCTAGAAGAAATCTCTACATATTCAGTCAGATGAAATTTAAATTAAGAAACATTCTGACAGAGCAACTAGGTACTGCAATAAATTCCAAACCCGATAAATCCTATGCGTGCAAAAAAGTTATTCAAGGTTGAAGTTCCACATTTTGAGCATTCACGGTACTTTTATCTAATTACAAACATTATGAATTGCTTACATGTTTTGTAGGTGCCTCCTACCTAATTACAAAATTTCAATTACAAATTGAAATTATCGCGACAAGTTTTTATTATAATTTCAATTCTGTAAAGTCATAAATGAATGTATTTAATTTAGATTTATAATTTTATTTTGATCTTTTTAGGGCACTTAAATAAAAGCCTGTTTTAAAAGTTTTATTATCATTATTTTATTTCAAAGCAATTTTCATATTGATTTTTTTTTCAAACATCAAACTGATCCGTTGGTGTATTTTGGTTCGTATGGAAGAGCTATGAATTTTGAGTCTTTACTTTTCTGAAAAGTCGGGGATTTACGATGTTTCTGATAACTGGAACATTATGAGCTCAGGAATAATTCGAAACACAGGAAGTGTATTGTCCCTCAAAAAGTTTTCTCAAAGAAATTCATAGGGTCAGTAATAAAATGCTACGAAAGAAGTACTAGTGCTCGTCTGGGTAATCTGGGAAATGCTCGAATGGAAGCTTGAAAAATAACGAGAGGAAGCAACACAGATTATCAAACGTAATAAATAGAAATAATATTATATTTTGCTTTTGCACGTGAAAAACCTACTCAATTTTGTTTGTTGATGTTGTTAATCTTTTTTTCAAGAACATTTCAAGTTGTCTGTAGCTCATTTTCTAGTAGATTCATTTGTGAATACACGAAATGAAAAAATATTCAGTAAACATATCTGATTTTTTCATATAAGATTGGTCGTGTGAAGTTTAATTTGTTTTGTTGTTGAAAATTATCAACTTAAAACTGCTAAACCGTTTATTTGGTCTCTGATTATATTCGAAGGCTTTAGCGTTTTTTCTCTGAAAACATTATTAAAACTGATTGATACACTTTATTGTATAATTTTCACTATGAAGGGTTTTACAAAAACCGCCACACGTGTTTCGCTATACAATAGCTCTCTCAAGCTCAAAACGAAAGTTACTTCTAAATTACAACTATTTCATAGTTTAACATATTACCTACCTGTATGCTTACTTTCCAATGAAGAAATGATGATAAAAGTTATTGAACCTTAACCTACTTAGGCCAACCCACTACGAATATTTCGAATTTTCTGCACAACAAAGGTGTAAATATTGCTTTCAAAACTAACAACAACTTAGGCATGCACATTAAGAATAATAAAAATAAAAGTTCAAATATGGGTCAAACTGAAAGAACGTTCAAAGCCCGCATAAAAGAACACAAAATAGTTTTCAGAATGAAAAAATGGATTCCACATATGCCACTCATTTAATCCAGAGGGACATGAGCTCAACCATGAATTCAAGCCCCTCCATTTCTAGAAGAAAGGTTTGAAACTCAACCTGTTGGAGAGTGTGGAAATAAATAAATTCAAAAAACTGTCAATATCTTATGAACGATCAAACTGAACTGAATAGTTCGCTATTATTCGATCTGTTTATTTCCAGGTACTTTCGAAAAATGTATTCATATAGTTAATGAATTCATACCTGACCTTTCCAGGTAGATTCATTCATTGAAAAGTAGGCATACAAGTAGGTAATAGAGTATAAACTAGTTGTAATTCAAAAGTAACTTTTATCTCATGCTTGGGAAAGCTATTGTGTAGCGAAACACGTGTCGCGATTTTTGTAAAACCCTTTATAGTGAAAATCATACAATGAAGTGTATTAATTAGTTTCAATATGGATTTTCATCAAGTATCGGCAGTTCTAGTCAATTAATTAAAACATTATTCAAATGTTTCCTTATTTTTCACAGAAACGCTGAGGAAATGGCCTTCTGTGACAACATTAACCAGAGTGTGCACGAAAGACTATACTTTTCGAGACTCTGGTATCACTATACAGAAAAATACTAACGTCATCATTCCGGTACTTGGATTTCATAGGGACTCTAATTATCATCCAAAGCCGATGGAATTTGACCCGGAAAGATTCATGAATAAAAATTCGAGTTATCCCGGATATTTACCGTTCGGAGAAGGACCAAGGATGTGTATAGGTAGGTGACATATCAGATATTCGTATAGTAAGTAATGAGAGTAATTAAATGAAAGTAATAATCTTGCACATCTTGAATTTGCTAAATGACTAGCGGTGCTCGATAAAATACTAAGAAGCCTTGAATAACTGATACCACTCAGCGGAGCCGCTCCTTGAGGTAGAGTCCAAATAGAGCGGGTTACATTTAGAAGGGGTTCATATCATTCCCTCAGTCAATTTCTTTTTTGCATCTCATCATTGACATTATCCTTTGTTGCACCCTTGTGGAAGGCCTTATACCTGGAGTCAGATGCTTTCATAAGCCGAGGTCTTCAAGAAGGTCTTGAAGAAGATCCAATGCATCGAGGGGTAGGTGTATCTTCGTAGATGTTCTTAATGTAGAAATCAACGTTCAGATGAAGAAAACTCTTTTTTGTCGAACTTACGGAAATTTCAAATTCCTTTTCCAGGACAATTGAAATGGGGTGGAATAAATATGAAATATAAACATAAGGGATTCTACGTACTCAAGATGAGATTAATCATAAGATTAGCAAAATGAGGACGAAATGATACATGAAATAACAAAACTAATGGCAGTGTTTTGGTGCACTATGTTATGAATTGAATTATTTTGTGTAAGTTTAGCGATTAACTTTCAACATGTGATGTTTAGCATTGCTATCTGCAAATTGTGAAGAATATAAGGTTCATCAAGAATCCTTTTGAAAATCTTGTTATACTTTTTATATCTTCCAAATTTCCACTCAATATCTAGATCACAGAATATATTTTCGGAAAAACTACACGAAAGTTTATACAGTGCATTTCTTTAATGCCCCCTCTTTTGTTTTTTGAACGGGTCAACTTAAAAAATTGAAATGTGGGATAATGAAATCAATGCATGAATACTTTATTTTGAAGTAAAATTGACAGATGAAACTTTCAAGATGGCGACTGGTCGCCATCTGGGAAAAAAATTGAATGGAATGGGGGGTATTGTGACAAATTATTTTGAAGCTCCTGACGAATACTTCACAACCATAGAATATGGAGTCAATATCTTCACCTACTAAAAAATGGCGGAACATTTAGTAATTGCCTGAATACATTGACATTTAAGTACATAATAAAAAGTAATAAGCTTGAGGTCAGTTCAGAAGATACTTGAAATGATTGCCTTGAACTTCTTGACATATGAACAGCCTATCCGATATTTCACGCAGAACATTTTCGAACACAGTAACGTCAATATCTCTACAAATATTCATTATTATCTGCCGTATATCCACCTTTTGCTTTAAAAAGCCCCATAAAAAAGTCCAAAGGGGTCAAATCTGGCGAGCGGGCTAGCAATTCTTTAGGACTTCTTAGGCCAATCCAACGACCGGGCTAATCCAAATAGTTTCTTACTTGTATTGAGTAATGTGGTGGTGCTCCATCTTGTTAGAATACAATATCCATATAGAATTCAATGATGAGAGGGTCAACAGTAGTTTCCAGCATATTCAAATACAGTTCCTCTGTTGAATTTTGATCAATAAATAGAGGTCCTTCAATATGGTTCCCCAATACTCCTGCACATACCTTAATTTTTTCTGGATATTGAGAAAACCGAAAACTAAATGAGAATATTCTAACTGAACAATGATGTTCATTGTCGTACTAACATTTTTTGTCGTTTTTATAAACAAAAAATAACTTAACAAACCTTATCGGGTTGTTGGAATTGCCATATGGCAGTCCAACTTCCGACTACCTCCCTGTATCGGAGCAAGGCGAGCGAGCTCTAATAAAAAAGTGAAGCCAGACCAGGCAGTATGTTTTTAGTCTCGACGGGGTTCTTTTTTTTTCGTGTTCGTATGGACCCAAGCGGCAGCAGACAAACTCGGATAATGCAGCAGCGCAACTATTTCTTGCACGCTTCGGATGTACTTTCAGAAGAGAACCTTTGCCGAGAAATCCTCCGAGTGATAGGGACGGTTGAGCAAATGTGGCCGTAGTTGAAACCAGGTTAATGCGAGAGCGGCGTCTGTAAACATTGATGTGTGTCTACATGGGCGTTGTGGATGTGC